CCTACACGACGCTCTTCCGATCTCCCCAAAACCCCAAAACCCCATGTGTAAGGAAGAATTCGATATAGAAAATAAACTATATCGTTAAATATTTATTTATTTTAGCAGTGTCTTAATTCAAATTTAAATTCCATAATGAAAAAGTAGATTCAATTACAGCCAAACTCTCAAGGCTTTAGCTTTCAAAGATCAGGTATTTCTCAATATTCCCTCTCTTTTCCAGGATTTTTAACACTCATATTCTAGATTTATCACCCTCGTCATAGGGCTCATTAGGCCCTTCATAGCCGAATAAGCATGTAAAGCAAGAGTTTCAAATGTAGCAAAATCTTAACTAGCAGAAAAACATGATGAATTTGAACAATTATTGACTTGTACCAAACAAGCAACAATAATAAAGCCAGTCTCCCATAATCCAGACTTCAAAATTCAACTAAGTTCTATTTCAGAACTAGGAACTTAACACAAGCAAGCTGAATTTCTAGCCAGCACCTTGTCAGCAGTAAAGTTAATAGCAACAGTAGTAAGACAAACTAAATGAAACTAATCAGAGTGTTAATCAATAAAACATTAAGTTACTAATGAGCAAGATAAAGAATACAAGGTAGAATTCATAAGTAAACGGCAATAATAAAGAAAATAAATAGTCTTTGCAGTAATAATAGATTTTTCAAAAGGGAATCAATCACTCTGCTTATTAGCAAGACGATGAAGATTCAAGCAGGATGATATTAACTCAAAATAATAAGGTTCTTAATGTCGCTATAAATAATTAATAATTTCAGATATCAAATCAGCAAAACAAAGGAGCCATCAGTGTTAAAAAGGGCTCAATTATAAATAAAGAAAATTTAAACAGTCTGAAGAAAAGTTAGCTTTAAAATGAGCTGGCTGATTCTAGGATGAGTAACAATACAAATCTTTCATAGATATAGCATTAGCGCTAAGACACATCGCCAGTTCATATTCATTATCATAATCACAACCATATTAAAGTGGTAAATAAAAGTCCCCAAAATATCGTTAAGAAGCCGTCTCAAAGAAACAGCAGTAACGCAGATAAGCACTAGCCAGAGACAGTGCGCAAGAAGTCTGTTAATGATCGTCCACAGACTAGTCATCAGCATCTAAACCATAAGAAGTTATCTGTAGCAATAAACAAAATAAACTAGTTTTAGCAGTAACCACAACAGATAAATTCTTCTTCATAAAGAGGCGCCAACAAGGATACTCTCAACAGCTTAACTAATCAAAAATAAAATATAGAAATCGCATTTGCATAGTAGTTACAGCAAAAGCTCTATCATCATAATCAGCAGCAATAGTAGAACAGTATCGTATTAGAAGATTCTATAGATGCCTCAACAGAAATCAATAAAAGAAATAAATCATAAATTAGAGAGTAGAAGTCTGACAGCATCTCAAAACAGAAAATTCTGAATACTCTGACCAAGTATGTTAAGCTAAAGAAAAATACTGATCTCAACACACCAATATCAGATGATATTCTTGAAAATCTTAAAGAATGTAATCAATTTTTTCCTCTAACACTTTTTAGTCTTGTTATATTTGGAAAAGAAGAATATAATAAACATCTCTGCTCTAGAGAGGGATTAGGCTTCTCTCAACAATTTACTAGCTGACATTGTTAATCTAGATTTGTCTAAATTCAGTCAGTCTAGATAAGCTAGACTTGAAAGTGAAGGGTCTTAAAATAGAAGTGGATCAGAAAAGCCAACTGGAAAATTGAGCTAATCGAGAGGATCACTTAGCAGCAACAAGACCTCGAGACGACAAGGAACTCCTGTTGGGAATTAGCATCATCACGGAAACTCCAATCCAACAGATTCCACATTGAGTTCATCAATTTCAAGTAAGATAAATTAGATAATGATATTTTAAATCTTCACTCTCACTTAACATAAAGTTAATAATAATATTTTTAGATTTCAGTAATTTTAACAAAAGAAGAGGTTCAGTTATGAATGCTAGTGATGAAAAATCACCAGCTACCTTTGCAAAAGTAAGAACCAATAGCCAGTAGAATCCTTAGGAATTCTAAAATCCACCAATTGCCACTATAAATCTCAACATAAATGGAAAAGTCAACAATATTAACATCTCACCAATTAACTATATAAACAATAACAACTTTATTACTCCATAAGTATAATCTACAGTGGCAGGAAATTAAAAGCCAATTTTACTCAGTGATCAAGAAAATTAAAAGATTAAGAATATATATTTGAACCCATAAAATGTTGGAGGCAGAAGAGGGTCTGATGGCTAGATTATACAGCGTCATTCAAAACTATAAGAATCGTAGAACCAAGATAATAAAATGAGTGAAATCGATTAATAACAAGTAAATATGGGTTAGAGAAGAGTTGGAAGTGCAGAATAAAAAAGGGAAAGTTCTAACATGAGAAATGTGAAAAACACTGGAGTGCAGAATCCGTAAAAATCATAAATTTAAGGGCAAGAATTCACGCTGGCTTCTGATCCTAACAATCAAGACAGTTGCTAGTTTTAGTTTAACGGAGATCTTGTTAAAGAAAGAGACAAAATTGTTAGGTATAACAAAGCCTATATCAAGAAAAATAAGGCCATTCCAAAAACAACTCTAGAATTTTATAAGTGTGTAAAATTAATAGGCAAAGGAGCCTTTGGTAGAGTGACACTTGGAGTTCACAAGCTAACTGGTAAGCAAGTAGCCATTAAGGCAATAGATAAGAGCTATATGAAAGATGACTTTTCAAAAAAGAAAGTGTTCTAAGAAGTCTATATTCTTAAGAAAATAAGACATTCTAACATTATCAGACTTTTAGAAGTCTTTGAGAGTGAGAAGTATTTCCTCATGGTGATGGAATACGCGGGAGGTGGTGATTTACTTTAGTATGTGAAGCAAAGAAAGAGGCTAGAAGAACAGTAGGCTAAATATATATTCAAGCAGATAGTATTTAGCTTAGCCCATTGTCATTGTAGGAGTGTACTACATAGAGACATTAAACTCGATAATATACTTATGGATAATGAAAACACAATAAAATTATGCGATTTTGGTGTGAGTAGACTTATTCAAAAAGGTATGGTAATCTAAGAGTAATGTGGGACTCCTGCTTATCTGGCGCCAGAAATAATTGCAGATGAAGGATATGAAGGATTCTATGTAGATATTTGGTCACTCGGAGTTCTTCTTTTTGCAATGCTTCAAGGAACTGTTCCATTTAAAGCTCAGAGTCTGCCTGATTTGCATTCACTAATTCTTCAGGGTAACTTTCAGTATCCTGTAAAGATTACTGATGAAGCACGAGATCTAATTGAAAAAATGTTATAGCTAGTCCCTAGCGAAAGAATTCCTATACCTGAAATCCTTGCTCATCCTTGGCTAAAAGGAGCTTTAGATCCTGATGGTATCGAAGGTACGGAAGATGATGATGATCATGATTTCTAGATGGGATTGAGCTTCTAAAGACAAGAGTGCAACCTTAACCCAATTATAAACTCCTAAGGATCTATTAATAGTGAGCATGGACCTATCGAGTAGGCAGGTAACATCAACGCAATCAATATTGATAACCTGTATTATGACGGAGATATTAGTTGTCGTTTATCCTACACTAATTATTGCGCTGTGACGTAGGATTACTACACTCATCGCATTGATGAAGAAGCCATAAAAGTCCTTGAGAATTTCGGCTATACCAGATCTCTTGTAATTTAAAGCCTCAACAAGGGAGAGCTAAACCATGCCACCGCCTCCTATAATTTATTAGTTCTTCCTTGAGTAAATGCCACATCTAGACAAACATTGCAGTTTATTGTTTAATAATTAGCTATATATTTACAAACAAGTTTACTTTTATAATTCATTTATTTATCCATTGTGGGGTTTTGGGGTTTTGGGGTTTTGGGGTTTTGGGG